TCAATTTAAGCTTTGGATCATCCCTAAAGGACATGTAGAAGTTACACCTTCAGACAGAGATCTACATCGCATTGGTGCCAACCTTGTTATGTGCAGCAAAAGGCAAGGAATTCTTTTTTTTTTAGTTATTTATTTATTTTTGCAATAAGAAGGCAACAAGTTGTCCATTTCATGGAATGATATGATGCAATGACATTCTAGACGAGAGTTGGGTATCATCCAGACAATCTATGACCATATTTTGGGGCAATAAGAGACCTAATGCATTACACAGGATCTAGTATTTATGAGAAAACTAAACGTATCAAGACCATTTCTGCAATATGATAGAAGTTTGAGTTGTTCGTCATCATTCCCCAGAATCCATTAAATATCAGTTTTGCGTACATGTTCAATGAATGGAATAGGGAAGGGCGGCTCACTATTTTAACCCACTCTCACTTTTTGCCGTCTCAAATTAAGGTGGGTTGCCTAGGTGTAAGAAGTGCTGTCTAAAAGTATCAAACCTCCATATTGTTATTCCTCTTGTGCATTTTGTGTTTTTCACTTCATCTGCTCGATTTACCACTGATGTTGATTGGGAGATTTTACCAAAGACCAAAGACAACAGGTATTGGTTATTAGCTTGATAAAGACATATTGGAGTAATATTTAGAAAAAAGACATATAGGAATAGTCATACATATTGTTCCTCTTAGTTAGGATTAGCTTAATTAGGAGAGAGACTTGATTCTAACAAAAGTTTAGTTTAATTGGTAGAGAGAAACCCCAAAGTGACGCATAGATATTTCTTTGAAACTGTTCACAATATATTACTGATATGTATAATATACAAAAGTTCTCATGAGAAGTGTGTCTCAAGCATCCCACACACGGGGTGCTCCATACAAAAAAGAATGTAGGCTATAAAAAGGTATTTGGCAGCCTACTAGTTGGGTGCTTGAACCTCAAGAGATCAAAAAAATAGGTGTGGCATCCCAGATCAGGTGTTCAGCACACAAATGTCACCTTGGAGGGTGGCAGCCACAAGCTAGGTGCTTATGCCTCATACGTTTATAGATCTACTTGATTTAAACCATTTTTGAAATTTAAAATTTTATAATTAGATATAAAAATAGATTTTGAGATAATCCTAAGAACATTTTACATCAAAATTGTATACCATAATAAAGTTTGAAGGTGCACCTTACCTCTACAGCTACGGATGCATCCATATGCTAACTGCACCCTTAATAAAATACTTTTGAGGGCTAGTAGATTGGTAGTTTTGGAATAAGTGACGGGCCTTCTAAAGGTTGGGTTCCACACCAAAGGTTGATGGAAAGAGTCGAAAGGCTTAGCAACATAAGCCAAGGGCGAGTTTGAAATTAAGAAAAAATTTGGCCACCTCTCCTTAAAGGGGCACTCCCACTCTCAATCCAAGGGTCAAACCAAAAGGATGCCTTGTTTCCACAATTAATTTTGAACCTAATTGATGACAAAAAGCTTTGGCCAGAGGCTGAGATGTTCTTGAGGATGCCTGAGGACCCGGAAGTAGCCCTTCTTAGAGGAAGCCAGCTAAGGTATTTCGTGTCATATTTGTGCATAAAAGCCTTGGCCAAAGAGTGTCTTGTTTTGTGGTGTATTGCTACCACCATTCACATAGGAGAGCAAGGTTTGTATATTTTAGCTTTTGGATCCTTAGTTCGCCAAGGTGCTTAGGGGTACAATACTAATCCCAAGCCACTTGATGAATGTTCCTTTGATACTTTTCTCCTGACCACAAGAAGGATTTCATGATCGTTACCCAGGAATTAACACTGCTCATCTTAAGGAAGAGAGACATGTAGTAGATGGGGAGATTGGAGAGCATGGCCTTGATGAGTGATATGACCTCTAGGAATACAAAACAACCCCAAAGATCCCTACTGGGGTTGTCGACACAAAGGGGGAGACCGAGATATATTGACAGGAGGGATCTGTAGAACAACCGAATTTGGAAATGAGGAAAGAAAGGGTATCAGGAGAACATCAATGCCCATAAACTTGGATTTTGCAATATTAATAGGTATCGCCGTGGGCTACCTTGAAGCACCTATGGAACAACGGCATAGTATCTTCTTTAGGAATTCATGATAGGAATTGCACAAAACAAGGGTGTCATCTGCGTATTGTAGGTGAGGAATTGTGATCCTTGAATGTTTTGATACCAGATAGGCGAATCCTTTTGTAGACCCCAGATATAGACCTATTGAAAACTTCAACCAGAAATTGAAAGAGAAGGGGGAGGAGATGAATTATCTTGGCGAACCTGTCTAGAGGAAGAGAAGTGACCCTTGGGGAGCCATCAATGAGAACCGAAAGGAAGCTGAGGATACACATTCATGAATCCAGCTCCCCATGAGAACTGTGAACTAGTTAAGGGAAGACCAGTCGAAATGATTGTAGACCTCCTCCCAATCGAGCTTCATGATTAGCCCCGGGGTTTTGGAAAAATGCCTAGAGTGAATAACTTCATGGGCAACCAGGAGTCTGTCAAGGATTTGACAGTTACGGAGGAAACCACTTTAATTGGGTGAGATGACGTTACAAATGACAGACCTAAGCCTAGAAACAAAAGACTTTGGTGAGGATCTTGCAGGAAGTATTGAGGAGGCTAATAGGTCTGAAATCTTGGGGATGGGGGCAATGAAAGTGGAATTCATGCTTCTCTTAATAGATATGAAAACCTACTAAATAGATATAGCTTGACTTTTGTGTGTGTTGTGTGTTTTAGTTTGAGAGAGAGAGAGAGAGCGCGCGAGAGACTCTGATTTTATTATCAGCACGTGATGGCCCATGTGGTAGATCCTACTTGTTCTTTTCAAGTGGCTTAACGTTCCTGTTTGGGCATACAAATCACTTTGGTCCCTTTTTTATTAAAGAAGAAAGGGGATACACTCTGTCTCCAAGCTTGACACTTCTAATGGAAGTGTTGGCACATATTACATGAGTTTATTATGGCAAGACATGTATGTCCTTGTGTCAACATGCGTGACATGCGTCTAAGTGTCGACATGCAACACAATGTGAAATTCTAGGTATGGAAGCAACCCTGCCTGGAAGATGCCTTTTACACCAGTTCAAATTGCCATGGGAGCTTCCATTAAAATTGGGCCTAAGGAACCTTTCAACTGGCTTGCATCAGTGCAAGAAATGTTTTGACTCTTGAAGCATCATTGCCCTACACTTAAAAATTAGGCCCTTCATCCTGATACCACACAACATGAGGATAAGAACTCAGGACATCACAGACTCGTGAATGATTTTCTCTGGCAACCTCCCTATTGTCATTAATGATTTTTTGGATTCACTAAAACATTGGGACAGATCATCCTGTGACAATTACCCACAAGCATAGTGGGGTCATTGACCAGTGTAAATGTTGGAAACAGCCCAAACTTCGTTCAATCCCCCGTTGTCCTTATGAATTGTACATCTCACACTCCATGGCTCTTAGTTGGACACCGGATATGATTTCAAGGCTTTTGATCCTTGCCTTGGCATTCATTTTTCTCTGTATCTCATAAATTTGTACCAATGGCAATGCCATGGCATGCATTTGAAAAGCAATATTAGGCATGAAGTTTTGATGCATGGTCACAAGTGAGGAATCCATGTGTTGCGCTCACATGTAGTTCTAAACTTTACCTTAGATCTCGACAGTTGTGGAGTTTTGACTTTGGAAATAGTCTTCCAAATTTGTGATTCTTTGGGTAAATGTCGCTGGTGAGTGCTGTGCAAATTTTCACCATAAACAATCATGGCTTGTAATGTAATAACATAAAAAGAGGAGTTCAATCCTATTGCTGGTGAAGTTATAGAGAATTGGATTAAAATTCCCCTCCATCTTATGAGCCCCATAGTCTATTGTGATCTAGGAAATGAGTTCAAATGGTCCACTCTGTTGATTTCTTACCACTTTACTCCCCTAGTGCCATCTAGCTGCCCTCTCCGTCATTTTGATAGCCTCAAGATGTGGATAAACCAGGTTTTCTCATGATGAATTGCTGCCTCGAAATATGCTCATTTTGGTCCTATCTTGCCCCAACACACTGGACTGGGCTTGGTCTTTTATTTCAACTCCTCTTTTTCTCTCCTCACTTTCATGCTTCCCTGATTCTAGGCCATTCTCCATGCCTATTCCTTCTGAAGTCTTCTCATCTTCTTTTTATATTGCCTTACACTTTCAAACATATTTGATAGAGATGTTGCTTATTTATTATGGGCAAGTACTTAATTAGCATTAGTTTTCCTTGGTGCTATTGTGTCGAAGTATATTTGAAGCTCTGGGTTAATCATAATTTGTTTGAATGTAGACATGGTTGGCTTGCTTCCTTGAGCAATGTATTAGGTAGGGGCTCCATACTCTGCTGCAACATCCATATTTTGTGTTCCATTGGTTTATTATACAAATGTTATTTATTTATTTTTTTGAGAAAGGTTAACTTGATTATACAAATGTTTTTACAAACGTTTTTGGTAACTATGCTGTTTGATTAGAGTTGCAGTTGATCCTCATAGGGCCACAAATGCCGATGCTATGTACTTGAGATACTGAATATTTTAGTTCCTCATGGATTGTTATTGGCCTAGCAATTCACTAGATGCTGGGGTTATTATGGAGGATGGATGAGCTAAAGGTTTTGCTCGAAAGGGTACCAATTTCTTAACGTGTCTGGCTTTCAGAATAGCTTTAAAACCTCATTAAAAAATATAAAAATAAACAACGAAAATCTTTCTTGAAACCAGTGTTTATTAATTCTAGTGGTTGACTCATCTAGAACAGCTTGATGTCGGTAAGCTTGATGACCACGACTCAGCTAATCATGATTGAATGAATTACTGTTCTCCCTGCTTTCTGAGATGAGAATGTTCCTCTTTAGATTATTGAAGTTGTTAGTACTACTGTTTGTTTGGTTCTGATGTATTATTTAGATGCCGTCTCCGTGATCTTGAAAGTTTGGCTATTGTCATTGCAGGGAAGAGGGGAAGGAGGCAAGGCCATACTGGGGCGGTGTGGGAATGCAATGTCAACTGGGAAGTGGGGACATTTGTGGCACTGAGGATGATGTAGCACGATCAATTTGCTCTTTGAAATAAAATGGGTTCGTAGGATAACGGTAAACATGGTGCTGGTTTCCACTTCTCCTTTGCAGTTTTGTTTCAGAAATATTCCTACAATATGTATATGTATTTCCAAAGTATGCATATTGTAAGAATATTTCTCCTAGAAAAAGAAATATCAGATAAAGGAAAGCTGCTACTATGCATTTTCTTGGAACTAATTGTGGCAACAGGCCGGGCCGGGCCAAAAACAAAAGAAGAAAAAATAATAGAAAAACAAGAAAAAAAGGAGGGCCGGCCAGGTGGAAACTGGGCGGGCATTGGCCCTATCCCAGCCCTCCAGCCACAGTTTGTGGCCCAAGCCCAAATTTTTTAGGGCCGGGCTACCCGACTCATTACCAATCCTAGGCATGTAGATCCTCCAGAAAGCATCGCAAATGTGGGTACCTACAAAACTGAAGAGAGACATGCATTTTGCGTAGGGGTGGCAACGGGTTTGGTTGGACCTGAACCCAGGTCCGACTAGGATACCGGTCCAGGTTTTGGACCCGGATGCGACCCGTCGGGTCCAAAAGTTGGATCCATACCCGAACCTGTCGGATCTTGGGCTTGGTTGGGTCCATTTCCACCCTCATGAGTTTTTTTTTTTCTCTTTTTATTTATTTATTTACTATCATATACCAATATTATTGACAACAAGGTCATAATCACCCATCATTAGATTTCAAGCCATATGATTTGTCTTTAATAGCTAAAGATAATTGCGAGTTCTTATTGTATAAGATTCTTAATACACCCTAACAAATGGGCTCTAAGTATTTTATCTCCAACAGTTTATGGGTATGAGTTGGATACGGATTCGGTCCAACTGGATCCGGATCCAGACCTGAACACTGTTTAGGTCTAGGTTTTGGAATCGGATCCAACCCGCCGGGTCCAAATGTTGGACCCATACCCAGGTTTGGAGCCGGACCCGACCCGCCAGGTCTAAATGTTGGGGACCCATAACCAGATCTGTCGGGTATACCCAGTGGGTCTTGTGTTTGGTTTGGGTCCATTGCCACCCCTAATATTGCGACGCCGGCCTCCAGCATGCCAGCGGTTTGCAAAGTTAACGCATCTGACCATGGACAAAGGATCGTTGAGATGAGCAGTGGCTCTCCGGTCACCTGGACATTGACAGAATTGAGCGAGGATGTAGGAGCTCATCTAGGCCGTCCATTTTCAAGTTGTCAACAGAGTGACAATTATTGGCGATGCATGAAATTACCGTCTTTTTAGCATGATAATTTCGGAGGATGATACCATCTTTGTGATATTATCCAAGGAAATGCAATTATTGCAATATTTTAGGGTTTCTATTAAAATCGCTCTAATTAATCTTCCGATTTAGATTGCCCTTGCCTAAAAATCATGATTATCTATATAAAATGATTCATATTAAATTCTTAAACTTGCCGTATGAAGAGGATTGCGTTAACCTTATGGGCTTTGCAAACAGGGATCATTAGAAGTCCAGCAGTACTGGATTTCTTATGGAAAAAACTTTATTTCAAGGTTAGAAATAGGGAAAAAGATTTCCTTTTATTACCCTTTAATTTATCTTTCCTTATTTATAAAATATAAGTGCATCAATTATCAGTCATCAGTAACTGTAAATCTGCAGGGAAAATGACGTATATCCACCAAAAAGGATATATACCCCCTGTATAATAGGGTTCGTTGGCACTACCCCTTCAACGTAAAAGAAAAGAATATTTGTTCTCTTTTTCTTTTTCATTGTTTAAGTTATAATAGTTACCATTTTTCCTTTTTTCATAACCCCATCATATAAATAGAATTTGTTTTCTTTTTTCATAGGAAAAAGTTTATATTATCTACACCGTCCATTTTCAAAATTTTCATATGTTTATAGATCTACTTGATTTTAACTATATTTGAAATTTGAAATTTTATAATTAGATATAAAAATAGATTTTGAGATAATCATAAGAACATTTTACATCAAAATTATGTCCCATGATAAAATTTGAAGGTACACCTTACCTCTACAGCTACGGATGCATCCGTATGTCAATTGCACCCTTTATCATAAGCCCAGCATATACATGGAATTTGATAGGATACTTGAGGAAACTAAATGGAAAGGAGAAAAAATAAAAAATAAATGGATATCGTCTTTGGGTAAGTAAAAAAATGAAGAAAATAGTAAGCGAGTGGGGATTTGAGCCCCTGCTTTTATGTGAGAATGGAGTTAGAGGCTTCATCATAGGGTTCGTTGATACTACCGTTGAGGCTCTAACCCATTCTAAAAAAAAATGGCTATAAACTTTGGTGTATAGGAAAGGATAATAATAAAAATGTCGTAGGCATGATAGTAGACACATTTAAAAGATGAAATAATTAATATCAGGAGAATAGGTTATAGACTCCTATTAATTAAACTTGTATTATGAGAAGTGGTAATTAACATAATTAATATTTATGCGCCACAAATAGGATTAGATGATAACATTAATGGACAATTTTGGGAAGACATGGATGGAATAGTCCAAGACATACCAAATAAAGAAAATATTTTTTTATGAGAGGACTTGAATGATCATGTAGCGAAAGATAGTATAGGATATGAAGGGATACATGGGGGATATGGGTTTAAGGAAAGAAATGAGATGGGTGAGGTTATTTTAAATTTTGCTATTGCCTATGATCTAGCAATAGCAAACACTTCAAAAAATGAGATGAATATTTAATAATATATAATATTCAAAAGAACATTTAATAACTTATAAAAGTGGATCACATAAAAGCTGGATAGACTTCTTCCTAGTGAAGATGGTAGATCAATCGTCATATAAATATTGCAAGTTTATTCCAAGAGAGAGTTTTACTACCCAACATAGGCTTGTTGTTGTAGACGTCTACATAAAGAAATAGAAGAGAGGGTGAAATTAATAGGTCCCAGAACTAGGTGGTAGACTTTAAAAAATGGGAAGATAGATTTATTTAGGGATAAATTAGTTAACGATTGAAAATAAAGCTTTAAACATGAGGTCAATATTATGTGGAATGAGATGGCTGACTGTATTAAGAAAGTGGCAAAAAACGATTTAAGATAATAGAGGGAAAATAAATTTTGATAAGGAAACTTGGTGTTGAGTGATGAGGATCAGAAGGCCATTAGCGAAAAACCAAGGTTTAAAAAATTAGTGACCTGATCTGGAATCGGGTGATCTGGATCGGGAATTGCCCAGGACGCTCCAGATTAAGCCAAAAAAATGGGATTTGGGAGGGTTCCAAATAGTAGAATCGTCGATTTTTTCGCGGAACCGTCGATTCCTCATCGAGTTCGACTGATTCTTCATGGATTCCGACTGCTTCTTCATTGAGTCAAGTGAAAAAAAAAAGAATGAACAGTTTTTTCTTCAATTGTTTTTTAAAAAAATTGAAGCAAAAATTACCAATCTAATGGTTCTTCCGATCCAAGTATGGGTGTGATCGATACGAGTCATCGATCAGTGTTTTTTAAACCTTGCGAAAATCTATCAAGTTATAAAATTTGTCAATGTAATAGAAATGATCAAAACTTAGAAGAATATAACAATACTAGAAAAACACTAAACAAATAGTAAGTAAGGCTAAACTTAAGGTTTATGATAATCTATATAGTACATTGAGAACAAGAAAAGGTGAAAAAGATATCTTCAAATTAGCATAAATAATAGAGAAAAGTGTATGGATCTAGATCATATTAAATGGCATTAAGAGTGATGATCAAATGATCTTGGTGGGATGAAGATGTCAATGAAAGGTGGAGAGTTTGCTTTTAAAAATTATTAAATGATGAACACGATGAAAACATAGCGGCAGAAGGAACTGTTGGCATAAATAATTGCGAAGGTCATAGATTTATTCGTAGAATTAAGATATTGGAGGTGAAAGAAAGCTTTGAAAATGTGAAGATAGGAAAAGCTTTAGGATCAAATGATATCCCGATAGAGGTTTGTAAGTGCATGGGGAGATTGGTATCGACTGGCCGATTAAGTTGTTCAACATAGTGTTGAGAACAAAAAAAATGACAGACGAATGGAGGAAAAGTATTGTGGTACTTGTTTATAAGAATAAATGAGATATATAGTATAGTGTAAACTATTGAGGGATCAAACTTATGAGCAACATTATGAAGCTTTGTGAGAGATTGATTGAGCACCGACTGAGGCATGAAACGAGTGTATTAGAAAACCAATTGGTTTTTTGTGAGGGAGGTCAACAACCCGAAGCTATTTTTCTACTTAGGCAACTTATTAAGAAGTTTAGGGCGAAGCGAAAAGACGTCTCCCGATACTATATCGACTTGGTGAGCAACATGTACGATGAAGCACTAACTAGTGTATGATAACTAGTGGAGAGATGAGCAAGTTTTCAATGACATTTGGTCTACATAAGGGGTCAGCATCGAGCGCATACCTCATTGTCTTAGTTTTAGGCGGAATGTTGGGTGGTCAAAAAATAATATACTCAAAGAATGAGTATAGCAGATATGAGTATATTGAGATGGATGAGTGATAAGACAAAGAAGTGATGGAATTCGTATTAAATACATTCGAGAAAATTTATGTGTGGCACCTATAGGCGACAAGATAAGAGAGAGTAGACTTGGATGTGCTTGTCTTGTGTGGCACGTATTTAGTACAACACTTGTTAGGATATCCGAGTTAGTTTCAAGTAGAAGGATAAAAAAGGGCAAAGTAGACCCAAAAGGACATGGTTGGAAACAGTGAGAAAAGATATAGAGACATATAGCCTCATTGAGGGTGTGACTATTTACAAAATAAAATAGTAGACCAAGATTTGTGCAGCCGACCCCAATTAGTTGAAAAATAGCTTTGATGATGACCTAAGGTTTACAAGATGAGTGGGAGAGAGATGGGAGTTTAAGGGATGTTGAGAGAGAGTATGTGGAAGGGGTTTAAAGGCGAGGAAAAGAGAGATCAAGATGTGGATTTTTCTAGGGTATGGATAATGAGATCATTAAAAAAAATAGAGAAGGATAAATGCTGT